AAAAATGATTCGCGATTTCCGTTAATTGTTAACTTTAGCATACATCATTTTTTAGTTTCTCGTCAAAAAAGGTTGTTCTAGCAAGCTTTGTTGCGACTTTCGCTTAGACATTAATGATGTATAAATGTTTGGATCAATTGAATAAACATTTCATAAATTGCACATTTAAACTTGAAAATTCGATTTTTTTTGTACCTTTTTGCAATTTCGTTGTAAATTTTCATTCGAAACAAGTTCGCATAAATTAATTCACAAATTAATTTGATCAATTGACAATATAAAATTATATTAAATTATATTTAATATTATATTAAAAAACGGCCAACACTAATCATGTTTTGTACTTTTTGATTGTTACAAATACTCTGTTTAAAAAAAAGTAATTGCTCGAATATAAAGTACATAAATAGGTCGGTTTGTGAAAGAACTTTATAACGAAAAAGTTTTGCTAGCAGGGGAGACACCTAATTGTTTGGACTTTAGAGATTGTTAGGATTTTGGAGATTGTTGGATTTTTGGAGGTTGTTGGGATATAAGAGATTGTTGGGATTTTGGAGATTGTTGGGATTTTGGAGGTTGGTTGGATTTTGGAGACTGTTGGGATTTTAAAGATGGTTTTCATTTTACAGGTTGTTTAGATTTTACAGACGATTGGCCTGCTGCTGCTGCCTCTTTTATCGTTTCTGACTTCCGTCTTTTTTGTGATTTTGTAGATCCTGCATTTAAACAATTTTGGAATATTCGTTCTCAAAAAAGATATCAAAAGCTCTTTAATTAAGTAATACTTTAACGCCCGCGTGTATTAAAGCTCTAAATAATAGCAGTTTAAATGTTAGATAAATCATACTAACTTATGATGAAAAATGCAATGAAAAGCAGAAAAAGAAAGAGAGAGAAAAGTGAGATGCCAGCGATAATCCAAGACTGATGTAAATTGTCTGCAATTAAAATCATCGAACTGTAGGTGGGTAACATTCATAATAAAATTTATTAGATCTTTATTTATCTTTGATTATTTTTAGGAAATGCCTGAATTTAACAATGACTTATGTGACAAAACTTCAGTAAATTAAACGCCTAACTTGTTGGAGAAAAGTTACATTTAAAAAACTTTTCATGTGTTTGTCGATAATTTTATTTTAACTTTATTTTACGCTAAATAATTTTAAAATATTTGTGTACCTTGCGCATCGGTTTTCCTTTCTGTGTAAAAATGTGTTCAATCGAATTTTTAGGTTATAAGTTAAATCTTGATACAAATAGAAAGAACATTGGAAGTTCACATTGAAAATTTGAGCGGCGCTATGGCACCGCTTTTGTAGTGACAAGTTTCGAATTTCATGAGATCCTCGTCTATTACATAACATGTGAAGCGCTGATTCACCTTGTGCTTATTGTAAATACCTTGAAAAAATGTTATAAAAAAATTTAAAAAAGAAAAATCACAAAAAAAATGTGCGTTACCCTTATCACTATACTCTGAAATTTGTGAACAATTTCAAATGATAGTTAGGCGAAAATTGAATAGTTTGAAACGATTAAATTCATTCAAAATAATTAAAATATGGTGACAAAAAAAAACCATCTTATATGCAGAGTGTCAGAGTCAAATAAAAAAATATCCGACTCCCATTTCGGCCTTTCGAGAAATTCCGATTCCGGGGAAAAATTTCCGACTCACGACTCCAGGTTCCAATTCCCAGAAAACATTTTTCAACTTTTTCATCATAATTTTATTTCACAATCACTACTAAACAAGAAATATTTTATAAAACACTTGAAATACTTCTATGTAATTGTTTTATTTTTAATAAAATTACTTTATTTGTTTTAAAAAATACACAAAAAATTATCTGATTTTATTCACATTATTTGCAATTATTTTCAGTATCAAATATGATTGCATATCGCTACGCATTTTCTTAAAAACACTATCATAAAAAAATTTCAGAATTAAAAATAAAAAATTGATTAAATTTGTAACATTTTTCGGACTCGGACTCCTCAAAAAATTTCGACTCCAATGTAAATCTCCGACCGACTTCCACTTTGACACTGCGTTTTTGTGAAATAGGAACGACCAACAACGATAAGAAGCGATTTGTTAGGACCACAGTATCTCACCTTCCCCTGGAGTCACAACTTTGGGGGAAAATAATGAAAACTGAATAAAACTTGTGCAAATGAAGGAAAATAAGTTTAATAACGTAACAATAATTTTTGTTCAGCGTTTCGTCACAATTTTACCAGCGTTTGTGATCAACGCGTAAAATAAAACCTTTGAAAGTAATTTTGAAACGCAATTTGCAAACTTGAACTACGCATTTTATATTAACTGATTTTTGTTATCTCACGTTACGTAAGCATACGGTAAATTTTATACCTTTGAAATGAATTAGAAACTGGCTGAACATGGATATTGAACGTTATCCAACAAAGAACCTGTCGAGGTGAAACAAAATACATTCACCAGAACTGCAAAACTAACGCTCAAAAGGGTAATCTGAAAATGTCAAAGAAATGTTTTTAATTTTATTTGTCATCTATACGGATAAGCAAAAATAAACACAAACCAAAATTTAAAGGAAATTTAAAAAAAAAAAAAGAAAATCGTAATTTACGAATTCGCGAATTATCATCAACGACGAAAAAAAAACACAAAACAAATTCTGATTAACCAACCTGTATCGTCCGGATATCCTGTTCAATATTTTCCGTTGTTGTAATTTAATAAATATCTATTCGTCGTAATACTCTTAAACATTTGTTTTATTTCAAGTTGTATGGGCAAAAGTTTAAACGCCATAGTTTCATACAACCAACTTTTGAGTTCAAAACTTTCTAATTAGCAATTTTTATTTACTCTAGAGAGCAAAAATGTAGTCGTTTTTACAAACCGACAGATTTTTAATTTTAAGGCTAAAACCGTAATTTAAACAATTGATTTTACGTTTTTTTTGATATTACAAATGAATTTTTCTGTTTAAGTGGTTTTCGTTTCAGTCTAAAATTAAAGTTGAACGGCTGTAGTGTTTGATAAATGTGGCCCTGAAATCATTTATCTGATAAAGGAAGACATGGTCGCACTGAAGCCATTACATTTTGATGCACCACAAGGTAAGCTAATGGTACTTTAATAAATAGCGCGATGGTAAATATCGAGTGGAGAGTCATGGACAAGCAACATGTCGTGTGGAGTCATAAGACAAGCAACATGTCGAGTGGAGTCATAAGACAAGCAACATGTCGAGTGTAGTCTTAAGACAAGCAACATGTCGAGTGGAGTCTTGAGACAAGCAACATGTCGAGTGGAGTCTTGAGACAAGCAACATGTCGTGTGGAGTCTTAAGACAAGCAACATGTCGAGTGGAGTCATAAGACAAGCAACATGTCGAGTGGAGTCTTAAGACAAGCAACATGTCGTGTGGAGTCTTAAGACAAGCAACATGTCGAGTGGAGTCTTGAGACAAGCAACATGTCGTGTGGAGTCTTAAGACAAGCAACATGTCGAGTGGAGTCATAAGACAAGCAACATGTCGAGTGTAGTCTTAAGACAAGCAACATGTCGTGTGGAGTCTTAAGACAAGCAACATGTCGAGTGGAGTCTTGAGACAAGCAACATGTCGAGTGGAGTCTTAAGACAAGCAACATGTCGAGTGGAGTCTTGAGACAAGCAACATGTCGTGTGGAGTCTTAAGACAAGCAGCATGTCGAGTGGAGTCTTGAGACAAGCAACATGTCGTGTGGAGTCTTAAGACAAGCAACATGTCGTGTGGAGTCATAAGACAAGCAATATGTCGAGTCTTGGGACAGCAACATGTCGTGTGGAGTCTTAAGACAAGCAACATGTCGTGTGGAGTCATAAGACAAGCAATATGTCGAGTCTTGGGACAGCAACATGTCGAATGGATAGTCATGATACCAACATGTGGAGTGGAGTAGAGTCATGAGACAAGAGTAACATGTCTATGGCCATTTTTAAAAAAATTAACATTGGCAAGCGATGCAAATGCTTATTTTTTGTAGTCACCAGAAAAAGCAGGGTTGAAATCAAGAAACACGCGAAATCATAATCAGTAAGTCACACTCATAGCACTGTTAAGTTGCCCTTTTAGCGATGGTTTGAGAATCTGTCAATTGAGTTAAAGTTATCGTTGTAAGAAACTTTTACTAACTGAAACAAAAAATTATAACAACGAAAAATTTTGCCAACATGAACTAGAAAATAGGTCGAAAATGAATTGTTACAAAGACTTAACATTATTCTTACACAATCTAAAGGACCATGCACACCAACTTTTAAATGAAATTCTGCTCGTATCAATACATTCAAGCAATTTTGTTAAAATTCAACCTTCAGTCACGTTCTCCGTGTCATATGTCATGTTTAGTGTTTTTTCTGTAATGTTTCATATTATATAGTTGATGTTTTTTGTTATAGAAAAAAATTAATAAAAAAAATCATGCTAAGCCTGGCTGTTTAAAATCCAGTGCGAACTCTTTTTATAATATTTGTTAACATGATTTGAATAAATGATTGTTGATTAACTTAGTTCGAGTTGCTAATTATTAAGTTAGAAGTTTATTAAATATCGATTAAATTCTAAAACTTTGATGTCACAATGAAAGATTAAAACGCGCAAACAAACCAGGAAAAATAGTTTCATCGACGTTTTCTTCGGCATTTATATCGGAGTTGTTTCCTAAATCATAAAAATAATATTCAGTTGCTTCTGACATTCATAACTATTTCTGTGCAAAATTCACTGGCTGTATGTATGAATCAGTGTATTCTTCTTACATTTCAGAATATATATTCATTTAATTATGATAATTTTTTAAATTTTGTTTTAAATCATAAACGAAGAAAAATTATTAGACATAGAAATTAAGTAATCGCTACACAGTAATTTCTTTCCACACTCTACAATAATATCATCATTTTTAAAAACTTTTATTAAAATTTAATAAACAAAAACGTAGAAATCTAAATTAACGGCTTACGGCATTAAAAAAATGCTGAAACAAAAAGATAGCAAAATTTTTGATAACCAACCAAGGACCCTGATGTAAGAGGCGGAAAAACTAAATTTCATATTACCAGAAATTTTGTTGTAAGCTATGCATATCAGCTTGTAAACTCCCTCCCTCATAAAAGTCATGGTGTTGCGTGATATAATGAACACATCTCTATCCAGTTTGTACCCTATTGTTGAGTTGACGAACCACGTCCATCGATTTGCTCTGGGACCTGAAGTCGAAAGACATTTTATAGTCCCACCGACTTTAATAGTTTTCTTATCAAAACGAACATCATGAACTGCTCCTGAAAATTTTTTATAAGCTTTATGTACAATTTTTTTTCACTTTCGCCGTACACAACTACGCGGTGCTTGCACTAGTACTTCAGATTCAAATTGTTGTTCATTTAATCATGTCGGTAATTTTGTTTTGTTCATGAAATTAAAGTTTTCAAGTTTATTTGAAAGATACTATTTATGCAACAAAAAGTTATTAACTGCTAACCCACAACACTAATTGAAGCTACGTAGGAATCTGATGTATTCTCGTCTCCAATTTTATTGAACGCTTCACATTTAACCTCGAATGTCCCATACACACGAAACTTTATGTAGTTGTGCTTAATTCTAAAGTGTCTTGAGGCTAGAGATCGGACTGTCCATGTCCAATGATGAGCATCAGGTTCGGAGTCAGATAGGCACACTAATGGTTCACCTAGATTGACTGTACTCTTCGCAAAGCGAACGTTTTGCACTCGCGCTATGGGCATTTTAATATGTTACGTCCGTGTTTGTATTGTCTTCAGTGAAAATAAATAGAATTCGTGTAACATATTTTGGTGGTTATTTTGGAGGAATCTATTTCTCGCAGAGCAAAAATAACAACGTTTCTTAATGGCAACCATTCATTTGACCATTCAACCATTGTTATAACATTTTCATTTAGAAATTTTTAATAAAAAATTCAACTTGAACCAAATTTTTTATTGATAGTAGGCTCATAATCATACGACTGCCTTTGATACACAGCGGCTGATGATTGTTTATCTACGTTGGTGTTACTTGCTTCAGAAAAAGATCTGCTCTAAAGTTTTACGGATACGGAAATGTGGAATATAGAAATACTATTACAGGTAGCCACAGCAAGTACTTTCCTAAAATATCAACCAATTCAGTTTATCATTTTGTTTGGGATGATGTTTAAAGCCGACATTTTGACAGATTTTTTATCGAAATTTTGCGTTTTTGTGTGTTTTAATTTATATTCTCCATTATTATATTACTTTTTATAATTTTGTAACTATTTTTAATTAAAATATTTTTTCAGTTTAATTACTATTTTAGTTCAATTAATTAAGTAAGTAAGTAATTAATTTAATTAATTAAGATACTGACTTTTAAAAATAAAAAAATTAATAATTAATTAAATTTGTGAAGTCTTTTAAACAGTTCAAAAGAACAACTTTTAAAGATATAAAGAGCAGCGGGAACGGAACAAATTTTTTTAACCAAACACGCAAGACGGCAAAATTTAATTTTGAATAAAAAATTTGTTAATTGGAAATGACTTTCAAAAGCATTGGTTTCAAGTTTCAATATTGTTTTGTCCTTAATGTTTTGGCGGTATCGGGTTCGATCAAATGCTTAATCGATGCCACAGCGAATACTGAAAAAGTACCGGTACTGTGATATTATAAACTTGAAGCAGCCTAGCACTCATGAATAACAAGGCGGCAAATTCCATAAACATTCCAAATCACTAAACAATTAATTAGCAGACATACTTGAAAGATCAGCAGCAAAGTCAAGATAATCGACAAAAAAATAATTTTGCATCCAAGTTCTGTTCACCATAAGGCGAATGTTCAGCCTGTTCAGCTGAACCGCTGTTCGGAAGTCATGGGTTATGTTGGTGGTGAATGTCTAAAAATACATGACAAAATTTAAATTTTAGTCGAATTATTCTACTATAAAGTTTTTTCGACTAATTTATATGGAGAACGCCGTTAAAATTCTGACACGTTTGGCACAGAATTTTAAATCAATTTATTTCAACATGTATAAATAAAAAAAACGAAAAATTGAATTGTTGTGAATATTGCAAAAAAGTAAGTTATGTTCAACAAATTTTGAATTTCAAAGCCGACATCAGAAAGGAAGAGGCACTGGCTTATTCTTACGAATCGTCAATCCATTCTAAAAACTCATCGGCGGCGAGATAGCCTAGTGGTTAAGGTCGCCTGGTGCCTTTTAGCGGTGCGTGCAGTCATCCGGTTCGAATACATCAAAAAAGATCTTTGACTATCGCGTGCTTCAGTTACTTGTGAAAATTAATCATCTTAACAGCTTCGAAGTACATCTTCACTAAAAAAACAAAATACTGAAATTACTAAAAGGTAATTCCAATATCTTTAAAATATAAACAGCAATGAATATTTACAATGTTTTCGAGTCCATCCCGTACCACAGATTTATATTCTTTCGTATGCAAAAACGATTCAGGCGGTCGCTCAAAATCTATAAGGATTTTTTGGTACTCGTTTGGTGGAGCTGCTGGTGTCAGCAGTTGTCTAGTGACGACCGTTATTTTGTACTGAGAAAAGTTCCAGCTTGGCTTGATGATGTTCCGTCTGTCAGTGCTCACTTCGTCAAAATATTTATTTACTCAATCTGCTATATTTTCATTGTTTCAACTTTTTAATTTAATTATATTTTTATATAGAACAATACGTTGAACAATATTCCAACTGTTGAATGTTCCAACTTAGAAAAGTTGTACTTTATTAATGTTCGACTGAAATTTATTGAAATATTTGTAATAAATATTGCTTATAATAAGAGAATTTAGGACCAAAATGTACGACATGCACCAAAAAAGGCCAACTCTTCAAAAGTCGATGTCAAGCAAAAAATTTCAACTCAACCACAGATGAATGTTCAACGTTATTACCTAGCATAAAATTCAATGCAAATAACTAAAGTAACATGTCACCTAACATGTTACTTTGGGTTACTTAAATGTAACTTGCTACATGTAAACTTACTGATACTTAAAGTTACTTATGTTACATGTATACTTACTCAAAATGAATGACTAACATATTTTGTAGAAAAGAGTGTAATCTGGAAATCCACTAGCAAAGAGGCAATACCTTTCAACCGCATTGTGGGGAAGTCCACAGAAAAAATCTTGTTTCCGACCAGAGTGACAGCTAATAAAGTGCACGTCGATACAAGAGTCACAACAGTTTACAGCTCTGAAATATGTCGCTTAAATCAAAAAAATTAAAAAATTTCAACTAAATATTATTATTTGGTTATGGTTTCAAAAAATTGTACTCTGACAGACGCAAAATCTGCAAATATCTGTAAAAGTAACACTAGTTCGGGGTTACATAGACAAATGAAATTTCTAACCCATGCAATCTGTTATCAGAGTATTGTGCATCGTATATAGAATGATCATCAGCCCAAACATGTTGGAACGTTTCATCGTCTTGACAAAATTGTGTTTTTATTTATTTGTTGTTTACAAACGCGACGTCAAGAATGAATAAAGTTAATAAATAAATAATGATTTAAAAGTAAACCAAAATCACCTAATTTCATAATTTGGAATATCCACCACTACATTAAAATTTAATAATCAGCTACTGCAGTTTTGCCACAGAGTCGCAATAATTTTTTACTCCAAATTTCAATAGTTTGTACAATTTCTATCATTACCCTCAACATTTTCATCACCATCATCGATGGCAGTAACTATACCAGAGATGACTTGAAACCACTATCTACCAGCTCTTTCTCTATTATTGACAACTCAATTTCTAGCATCATCACTATCGTCGGGGTAGCACCTGTCCTCGTATAAAACAAAGTAGCATCATATTGTGGAATATTTAAAATAAAATAAAAATCTTCAAATATATAGACCGTTAATGTATCCAGCAGTCAAAAATCTTTCTCGTAATCGTTGACTTTTGTACAGTGCCACGTCTGCTCAAAACATTTCATACTCCGCCCCTATGGTTCGTTTAGAAGACACTGAGGCAATGCTAAAGAGTCTGCACGTTAGAACTCCCTAAAAAATACCTCCTTTTCAGACCAAGCAAAGTGTGGGTCCATCTCGGTCTTCCACAGCGGTCAACGAAAGGTCATTTTCGAATTGGGAGAAACATTTTTTTGAAATACCTCTCATTACTTTTTATTAATCATACCCCAAAACAGTCGCACACCAAATTTATCCAGGTGCTGTGTAGAATCTTCAGAATCCTGTGACAATCTTCTATGCCAGCTCTTTGGTTTAAGATAATGTACTGACACGCACTGTGCTTTCTAAAGAGTCCCATGGAGATAAGGGATATAAAAATTTGTTTAAATCTACCAAAGACTGGACAATTTCAATAGATGTCCAATTGAGAATTTATTCAAATCATTAAACCTAGCTCAAAAACGCAAGCATTAAAAAAAACCTATGCTTAATACTTGGTCTGCCGGTAGTGACCTTTTACATTTGTCAATTCGGGGATGATGTTTTTCCACTGAGCCATCTATCACAACTATGATATCCTCATCAACAACAACAACCTCATCATCATCGTCATACATGGTAGTTCAATACAATAATTCAATTCAAGTGGTTAATACCATGTTTATTATATATTTATATAAATATATATATATTAATTTATATATACATATATAAATAATGTATATAATGACGTCATTGTGACATCATGATAAATGAGCGATGAGGCAGTGAGATTAAAATTAAATTTCATCCATTCTGTTGACTGGGTCATGATACTTAGTGTTCAGTTCAGTCTCTGCTGATTCCATTGCAGCGTGTTTATATCTGTGTGCTTGTGTGTGATTGTATTTGTGTGTATATGCCTTTGTGGTGTGTGTTTTGTGTTTGTATGTGCTTTTATGTGTGAGTATAATTGGGTAAACAAGGTTTTCCTTTGTCGTGTGTGTCTTTGTGTGTGTGAGAGAAAAAGAGAGCGTGTGTGTGTGTGTGTGTGTTTGTGTGTGTATGTGTGTGCATTTGTGTGTGTATGTGTGTGTGTTTTGAGTTTATACATACAAGCGTATGCGAAAGCCTGCGTCCGTTGCATAATAATGTCAACACATTATGGTGTCATGAGATTGAAATGGCCTAATTTCATTCTTTCTCTCTCGATGAAATTTTTGTCCTTTCATTCGTTTAATAGTCTAATATATTCATTTTGCTTACACACTTATATTTTTTATTCAGTTAACTATTCGTTTACCCTTTTGATTGTTTTTAACATTTACTGATTTAGTTGTTCATTTGTTCGTTCATTCATTCATTCGTTCGTTCGTTCATTCATTCATTTATTCACTCACTCACTCACTCACTCACTCACTCACTCACTCACTCACTCATTCATTCATTCATTCATTTATTCATTCATTCACTCACTTATTCATTTATTTACTCATTCGATCATTCAGTCATATTTAAGTTTTTTTTGTTTCCATTTTCATTCAACACAATTTTTCCTCAACAACCATAAAGAAAACAAAAAACATCTACCGAGCCAATTACAACAACACCCATTTTAGCAACTTCCGTTGAACGACAAGTAACAACAAAACCGGATCAATTAAATCCGTCTGGTCAAAACCGGATCAATCAAAATCGGTTCAATCAAATCCGGATCAATCAAAATCGGATCAAACAATCGGATCAATCAAAACCGGATATATCAAATCCAGGTCAATCAATCAAAACCTGATCAATCAAAATCGGATCATTCAAAACCGGATCAATCAAAACTGGATCAATCAAAACCCGATCAATCAAAACCTGATCCAATCAAAACCGGATCAATCAAGAGCGGCGACTACACAAGCAACAGTATCTACCTCCACAGCAACGCTTTCAGCAGCAGCATATTCTACAACCCACAAAGTCTTACAGAAAGTTACAGGCTGGTTCTAACAAACGCCTTACGAGCAGTTGCCATTTAGTCGGAAGAACCAAAAAATAACAACTACAACGATTACAACACCAGCTTTTTAAATAAAATATTCCAGACTTTCAAATAATAAAAAAAGCAGTTTGATTTCAGTTCGCTCTAACGAATATAATTTAATTCTGGATGTAAAAAATTAAAACAACGATAATATTTTGGATGCTTTTTAAAACAAAGTCAATCTTGTAAACCTTGTTGGATTTTTTTAAAACGTTTTTTAGTTGACGCAAAAATGTGCTGATTTCGGATTAATCCCACAAAACAGCTCTTCTTATAAAATAAATATCAAATAAAAGCGTCTCATACGAAACATTGTAAATGATTTACAATATAATATAAAAAATTAAAATGCGACAAGACTACAACATATTCACTAATTATGACAACTCTTCAAAAATTCTATCAACAATTTGACTGCAACCGTGCAATAAAATAAATCCACGTTCATACTCCATGTCCCGTTACAACTGGAAACATCAGTTCTTCCTGCCAACTAGCAGATAGGTCCTCATATCCCCTTTCCCTTTCACAAAAACCTCCCCACGAAACTCAAAATCGAATTGATCGTTGAGGAGAAGATGGCATTGCTCGGTCAGTTGGACTCTGCCGTGCACCCCCGTCGAGTACATCCTACTTGCCACGTTCACCGCATCCCCCCAGATGTCGAACAGCATCTTACTTGTACCAACCACTCCGGAAGTTACCTGCTCAGGTGTTCAAGTTTGGCGCGTTGTTTAGTGTTTACTTTCTAATGGAGTTTATCATTCAGTTGAGTAACTGCTAGATTTAGTAAAAGTGGTTGTTAGCGAAATTGATGAAAGTATTTTTGTTGTCATTCCAAGTTATAATTAAACATGTGATACATCACTACTTTAATAAGTCAATATGTTGTCCAGTTGAAATCTTAGTAAAATTAATCTGCATAAAATAGTTTTTAAGTTTTTAAACTGAAATGTTTTAAAATAGGAACCAAACTAACGACTCAAACTTTGGATAATTTAAAACATTTACAGACCTGTCCAATGTTGTAACCAATGGTCATGTTGAACTCAAAGTTGAGCATGCTGGCGTTGAATGCTCGCAACTTCTCGAAGATGGCGAGGCAAAAATCCACGAGAGCCACTAGGTGGTCGGGCCTGTTTGGGGTCTCCTGGTTGCCAGGTGTTTTTGCGCTCTCCTGCACGTTCAAACCCGACGCTGCCATCAAGCAACTGCCTTTTGTGAAAGTGGAATTAGTTCTGTTTTAGTATATTTATAAAGGAATTTTCTATGAATTTCTCATTAAAATTGTATTATTAACTTTCAAATATACAAACATTTCATGCAACATTAACAACTTATTAGCATAAAAATGAAAAATAAATGAAGTATAAATTCGAAATTACACAACTAAATTACAATAAATTACATTATTGCGAAAATTATTCAAGTTGATCAGGCAAGTTTCTCTCAAACAACCAACCAATTGTTTTGATTTTTTCAATTTGATTGAAGCGTGCATCTTCAAAGAGTTCCTCCAAATCGCCTATCAGCTCGTTCAAGACCCTCAAATACTCGATCCCACCCTGGTAAGACTCGTCGTAGAAGTTGTCAAAGTTGCAGACCTGCCAATGTTTCAACAAGTTACAGCGGTAGTTTATTTCATTCCAACAAAACTAAAACCGATTTTTTATGAGATGTTTAAGATATATTTTTATGATTTTTTGTTTTAAATGATCTTTTAAAATGTTGATTTATTGCAAAATAATCATTAGAAAACCGAAATTAAAAATTTTAAACTGGTAAAATAAAAATCTGAAATTTTCAGATATAATTTTAATAAAAACATCATCCTAGCAACTACTCTCTCAAAACGACATCGAAGCGAAGGACGAACCTTTGCAAAGATGATTCCAACGTCATTGTGGGTCCTACAGTACTTGCCATCTCTCTTCAGACACTCAATAACGTGCAGTGGCACTATGTTGTTCAGCAACCAGTTGTCTTTATCTTTTGACTCTAGCATCTTATTTTCAGTTTCAATTAACAAAATCCCAAATTTAAACTCCCGTCTCTTCAGCCGTTCGCTGTAGTTCAGCGTTAAAAAGGACAGGATAAAGTACAGACCCAGAGACAGGCAGCACTCCGCATAACTCCATGTTAATATGTAAAGACTGTTGGTATTTTGGAAGATTTTTAGTGAAGAATTTGTCATGTTCTCAGTCCGATAAACCGTAGAAACGTTTGCATAAATTGGTCTACTATAAAATTGATCAGTCCTATTCAGGTCGATAACGATGTAAGACCAAGTGAACAAAGTGATCAGAGCAGAGATAGTTACCAAATGAACTGACAGTCTTATTAGGATATCAATTTTGTAGATTAAGAATGATAATGAGAGAATTATGAAGAGTTCGTAACTCAAATAATGAGCGTAGTAAATTTTGTGAGGGCTGATGCAAAAATTAAACAGCACAACAATTAGAACATCGGAAATCACAATCACCAAACAAATTTGTGCCGAAGCTAAAAACTTAAAACAATAAATGCACTTAACAGGGAAGCCGGTAATTCTAGAAAATATTATAACAAGCACGTTGACCACAATGACGACCACCACGCCAGCACAACTGATCGATATTGACCAAATGCCGGCAGACGAGTTTCGAAATTCAACGACAGTGGCTGCCATGAATGCTCCGGATTGTAGGATTGCAATGATAAATTCAAAACATAACATGGGCATCTTCAGGTTCCCATTCAACAGTTTTACCTCAAATTGGGCAGATTCATGCTTGTCACGCAGTTGAAACTTCCTTTCAACTTGGTGATCTTCAAACTTCGTCCGGCAAACAAGGAATTCAATGTTTTCCATCTGATCAATGGTTTTATACGGAAGGTAGGACTCTTTAACTGTTTTGTGAAACGAATTTAATTTGGTTTCGCGAGCGTTCAAAGGTTTCAATCCGTTTGCAGCTGTTAGCACTTTGTTGAACTTCTTTTCGTCCAACTCGTCAATGATGAACCACGTTTTAAAAGCTGTGGTTTCGAAGAAAAATGAAAATAAACAAAACATATACCCAAAAAAATGAAAATGAGGAATTATTCAAATCTAGGAAACTAACATTTTGTATCAATTTTGTGTCTGATGATATATTTCTGAGTACTGGCGTCATATTCTTCAATGAGAACCTTACTGCCTCGGAGATCTGTCAACACATCACGTTGTTAAAACAAAGTCTGTTCTAAATTCAGTTGATATATAATATAGAAATACACACATTTAAATTTAAATAAAAAAGCAAAAGAGAGCAATATCGTTAGAATTATGGACCGGCGTGATCTTCTCCCGGTTCGACCTTGTAGAGATGCTGCACCAACTTGTACGTTGAGTCGGAGACGTGGACTCTGCCCGGCTGACCACTGGACTCCATTTCATTGGCCAATGTGACGTCATGTGACCAGACATCAAATTTGAACCTTCTTGTACCCACCAGGCCGCAGAGGACTGACCCAGAGTGAACCCCCACCCTCATGTCCACCTCCTCCCCCCGATCCTTGCAGGAATTAAATTGAATGTTTTCGTTTTGAGGTCTTAAATATTTCAAAACAGCCATTTAAAGATCAACGACAGCGTTTATAAATAAAAGGCTGTTCATTCAATTTAAAACTAAAAATATTTTCATAACTTATAAAAATGAAAACAGGCACTTTTTATTTTTTGACATAAAACATATTTGGTTTTCATTGCATCTGATAGATCTGTTGTTAGCAAAGATCAAATGTAATTTTCCTTGCCAACATGACAGCAGTTTTAATTTTGTTATTTGCATAAAATGAAATTGATCATTGTACTCTACAAATACTAAACTGGTTAACGTTTATCATACACCACTGCTTATAATTTCGTGTACGTGTCGCAAGCATTCGTCGATTGATGAATTTTGTGTACGAACAAACGTTAATTTGAATAAAAATAGTGTTAAACAACTTTTCAAAAAAATCTGCACACTTTAAATTCATACATTATTTTTGACCGTATCAGACGCGAAACTTCATGAGCCAATTTTGGTTTGCATTTTCAAAAAATGTGCGTCACACAAATTCACTACATAAATAATTTACAAATGAAAATAAAAAATAAAGCTAAACTATCTTAGCAACAGAAAAACCTCTATTCAACCTTATCAAACTGAACGATAGCCCTACAAACGAGAAGTCCCATCAGGACGCAACAACTGGCATGATCGATCCTGGGCTCCGGGCACCCGGATACGCTGTAGTAACAATCACCGAGGGTGCTTATCTTCTCACAGCCGGAATCTAGGCATATCTTATCGAACCTGGGTGTTTGGTGGTGTGAATGTGAATGATGCTGGATTGAGTTTCTTATGTTGTCAGTGAGTCAGTTCGCCCCCAAAAAATGTTTGCCCATTATTTGTTGCTGTAACTATTATATTTTTCAATTTTTCTTATTTAATGTAACGGATTAAAAAAAAATAATGACGCTTAAGCTTTAACTTATTCCAAATTAAAATTTGTTAAATTGTATTATGTTTATAACATTATCAATAATAACATTAAATAAATGTGAAACAACTCCAGCGTAATCAAAAGTTGTTTATATTATACAAGATAATTAAACAATTTTCAATGAAAATAATTTTTGTGAACATAAAAGAAAATGAAGGTAGCTGTTAATAAAACTTCTGACACCGAAATTATTATGAACAATGAAAAGACACAGACAGCACGTACAGACAACAAAAATCCAGCCAACCTTCCAAAGAGATCATTCAAAATGTCAACGAGGTTCTCAGCAGTCTTATTGGAGCTCATCTTTGTGAACCCGACGATGTCCGCGAAGAGGATGCTGACATTGCTCATCTGGGCCACGTACAACTCCCTAAAAACGGCCTTCGGCATGGCATTGATGGCATCGTCGGAATTGGGACTTACAATTTTGGGGACGTATGACTTGAGAACTTCTGCCGCTAATTTCGGTGGAACGAGGGAATGAATCAGTTCAAGTCTGTACTTGTCTTGTTCTTCCAGATCACTTAACAATTTTTCAGCCTCAATCATCTTCATCGTTATCTTCCTCAAACGTTTTGTAACTGACTGACTTTTGAAAGAGATGATCACAATATGATGGATGCAGTGGAAACAAACCTTGAACACGACGACAGATGCAATGCGCTCCACTGCATGTGCCAGCCAGATCACTTCTCTACCCGCAAAGAACAGGACAATCTCGTGAAGCAATGAAAAAATTAGAGAAATAGTTGTTATGAAAGAGTCAGGAAGTCCATGGCCTAGCATGTGGATGATGATGGTCAGTGTGATGAGACGGATGTAGCAAGAAACTTGATAGCTGAGCGACGAGAGGGAATATTGGACGTTCAAGAGATGAGCCAACCCGTTTATTACAAATATGACCACCACACAAAAGATGAACACCTTCTCATCTGACGGCCTCACCATAGGACTCTCATAATCGTTCGGAAACACGTAACTTTTCTTCCGTATGAGGGCCGCCAGAAGGCAGCAGGTTATGAGAAAAATGAAGACGACGATGGCGAGAGTATAGTTGACGGTGAGATGGATTTTTAGGAAAATATCCACACAGCTTATTAGCTGTCCCACAAGAATGATGAGAACAAGGTAGGGAAGATAACTTCTGCTCTTCAGTAGCAAGATTTCTCGTAAGGGGTTCTCCTTCTCGTCAGATTTGACGTTGTAAAGTTTCTGACAGCCGCAACAACTGCATAAACCTCTTTTGGACATTTTTTTGGTTTTTTTTTAGTTCATACCATTTTGTGTAAATATTCGCATTTTATCTTTGCTATTTTGTTGTCTGTGTTGTTATCAATTATCGCTATTTGCTATGGTTTTATCAGTTATTATCGGTTGATAATTATTATCAATGGAATAACTTTTTAGTTATCCTTTCTAGGTACTTTTTTTAAATGCAGGTGTTGTTGTTGAGGGTTTTTTGATGTCTTTGTTTGCATTATTGTTGTCGTCATCAGTGTTGTCGTGCTGTCGTTACTGTTGACATATTTGTTGTTGTTGTTGTTGTTGCTTCTTTTAGTGATAGTTTCATGAACAAGTATTTTCACAATTTCATTCAAGTTTGCATCATATTATTATATAAATATTTCCCGAATAAGTTTTACTACATTGAAGTTACATCAGTATGACATCAACCAACATTACATTACATTCATGTCATTAATATTTTTTATATTATTGCTATTACTATTACTATTATTATTATTATTATTATTATTATTATTATTATTATTATTACGACAGTAACATTAGACTATCTTGATGTCATATTAGCGTAACATTAATTTAACATCAACATTACATTAATATTACTTCATTATTACATTTGAATGACATTAATTCTTACTATAGTAATAGCATAACACAGCCTAACGCCACGAGTTTTGTAATGTAATCAGAAACCCTATTTGTACATAGAATCATCATTTGCAGTGTATATATGTGTGGTTGGCAGATATATATGGTTTATATTTGTTTGTGAGTGTGTGTGTGTGTGTGTGTTTGTGTGTGGTGTGTGTGTGTAGTGTGCAGTTTATAAATTCTTTCTTCCTCACAATATTTTCACATAAATTCATATTATAAAAAAAAATTAAAGGCTTATTTTTGTCATATTAGTTAGTCATGAAAAAATCGAAGTTTTATTATTATTAGAAACGCTGTATGATTTAATTCGTTACTTGTGTGTGTTGTGTGTATGTGTGTGTGTTTGTGTGTGTGTGAAGCGACTTCTAATTTGTTTTAATATTATTACTCTCACTAATAATATAAAATTCACCATCACCACCAACATAGTCACCCTCATTATCTTCATCATCACATCGTCACATCATCATCATCATCATCATCTTGTCTTTTAATGCGTCACCTTAAATATAGTCATCATCATCTTTATCGTCATCATCATCTTCATCATCCTCATCATCTGTTTCTTCTTTCATCATCATCTTCATCATCGTCGTCATCATCTTCTTTTTCGTCATCTTCATCTTTTCGTCGTAATCATCATCATCTTCGTCGTCGTCATCATCATCTTCGTCCTCATCATCTTTTTCGTCATCATCATCATCTTCTTCGTTGTCATCATCTTCTTCGTCGTCATCATCTTCATCATCGTCATCATCATCTTCATCATCTTCGTCATCATCATCTTCATCATCATCATCTTCATCATCGTCATCATCTTCTTCTTATTCGTCATCATCATCTTCATCATCTTCTTTTTCTTCGTCATCATCATCTTCATCATCATCATCTTTTTCTTCATCTTCTTCATCATCATCACCCAACACAAAGCCGGTTTTCATTAAATAACAATTAGTAAGCCATTAGGCGGAAAAAACAAACCGTCATTCAAATTATTGATTGACGTCATCGTCATCATAATCATCATCGTATTTTTTCATCACCACCATCATCGTCGCGGGCTGTGAGATAGTGTAATGATTAAAGCGTCCGACCATGCTGTCGGGAAGACTGGCTTCAATTGCGAAAGAGATTCTCGCTCGTTACGAAGTGTGCGATGAATGGACTGGATATATATCATTCATTTATTCATTCATCTATCATTCATTCAATCATCTTTCATTCATTCATTCGTCATTTATTTATTCATCATTCATTCATTCATTCACTCATTCATTCATTCATTCGTTCGTTCGTTCGTTCGTTCGTTCGTTCATATATTCATTCATTCATCCATTCATTCATTCATCTTTCATTCACTCATTCATTCATTCGTTCGTTCATTCATTCATTCATTCTAACGTACGAGACTAAACATTATTCACATAAACTCATATTATAAAATAAAATTAATGGCTTATTATTGTCATGTTATTTATGAACAAATCGAAGCTTTATTTTTATTAAAAACGTTGTATGATTTAATTTGCTATTTTTGTGTGTGTGTGTGTGTTTATGTGTATCTGTGTGTGTGTGCTGTGCGTGTGTGTTGTGTTTCACTGTACGTGTTCAATGTTCATTCGCTTTTACGTTTTATTTACTCAAGCCGTCGTTCATTAATAAGCAAATGCACTTCAGTCACTGCAGTTGATTATTTTTAATTAATTAATTAAAATTAATGTACTCAGTTACTAATTTGTTAGCTACTTAAGATATATTTTCTTATTTTTCATTATAGAAAACGCCTGACGCTTTTAGAGCTTTGTAGCGTAGCCAGAGTTGGCTGTTGGACTTGTTACATCTAGTCACTTCTAGTCACGAGATATGCTTTCTGGATAGTTCCCGTGATAATCGTTTTTTCGAAAACTTGTACTTGCCACCAGTGGCGGATTCAGAATTTTGTGGGGGAATCGACTTCCAAATCCTAAAGCTGAATAATCTTTTTCCTGATAATTCCCGTAATTCCTGTTTCGGTGGGGGATGATTTTCAAAATTCTCAAGTAAACAACCTTTTTGGCTAATTTTATTGTTAATTTAATACCACATTTTACCGAGAATTTTCAATATATTTCAATAAATTATTATTATTTAATTATATTATTTAATAATATTTTCAATATATTATTATTATTTTATTTAATAATATTTTCCATATATTATTATTATTTAATTATATTGTTTAACAATATTTTCAATATATTTTTCTGTCATGCCGGCATTTCTCCCCCTCCCCACCTGAATTCATCACTGCCTACCACTGCAGTGTAATGAGAAAAAGTTTGTCATGAAAGGTTGGTAGCCACTATTGGATGTCAGTTAGTTAACTTTTCCAAAAGTTCCAAGAAAAGCGAATTCTGGTTACTTAAACCTCGTGCACTCGACAACTAGAGACTACTTCTTATACATCATTAACTCGTGTGTCCTAAAATATTCTTTAAGAGTTAACAAAATAGTGGTTTGTTTGTATTGTTACCGCCTGCAAAATTTTAAATAAATGTAAAATGACCAACATTAAGAATTTTCTAGCTTTTCCACCACAGATCGCTAACAGGCTACGTGAAAATTTAATGTTGGAAGAGTAGTCGGTGGAAGAATGTAATGTAGTTTGCAATTAATAAATTGTACTTAAAGTTATCTCAGATTAATCAAAATAAAGACTACTTCATTCCATTGTGCTTGCCCCTGTGTGTTCGTTTGTATGTCCAGATAATTCTAACAATACGATTTATTGCCACTCTGCACTTTTTATTTATTCAACAATTATTTTATTTATTATTTTTTTATTTTTTAGTGATAAATATAGCTATTAAAAAGTAGTTTATTCGTAGGGTAAGCATCGGTGCGTAGTTTTGTTGGCGTTTGTGTGTCCGTCCAAGTGCGTTTGTGTGTGTGTGTTTTTGTGTGTGTGTTTATGCGTCCAGGTATGTTTGCTAGTGGTGTGTACCTAGCGATCCATAACTCGGTACCGCCAAATTGCAGCCGGATCGAATTTTCTGTTTGCTCCAATTGAGTTATCGGGCTCCAACTTATTTCTTCTTTTTAAAACTGATGAAACACGTGGCAAACAATGCAATGGTTTGCCTACAATATTATTTCAAATCGTAATTATTTCAATTCTTATTTTGTGTTTTTGTGCAGCATGGCGTACTTTTCTATAGCTTTTAAAATTCGCTCAAATTTTTTGCGCTCCAATTTGATACCATCACACTGTGTTATGCTGTGTTGTGAGTAGAAAATTCTAACCTTTTAAGAACATTTTAAAACAGGTTTTAAAATGTTTTTTTAATATCAATAGTTATTTGTTTAAAATGTCATGCTCATGTCGTTACTTTATCGTCCTCTATTATTTGTATAAGACATAACTGTTGTCATTGTTGTTTGCCGACATTATTAATGATACTGTTACTAATGATTCTTATTATTATGTTATTTGTCTGTCTGTTTGTTTGTTCGTATGTCTGTTTGTAATGTTGTTTCGGATGCCATCATCATCATCCACACACCTGCTCATCATTACGTACCAGATAGGCCAGACGGAACGAAAACGTCGACTGCACAATAATGACGATGCAAGTGGGCTTTTCACTTAACTGTTTGAGAAAATTGTTAGGAAAGAATCTATAAACCGCACACTACACACACGCACGCACACACACACACACGCTTAAGCGTTATTTACATCACATAAAGCACACATACAAAGACAAAAAACACACGTACGCACACAACTTCGATGTCCTACTGGCACTTCTATGTTTTCAGAGGACAGCATTTGTACCTATGCGCTGACGCACTGAAACGTTCAATTTTAATCCAATGTTTATCGGAATGCCTTTTAAAAGGCTTTATTGCTTTATCATCCCGCCGTTTGAAAATAATTTTGTATCTAATCACCGTAGCTATCAATCAACGATACCTAACGTAAAAAGACCAATTTGTGCTACTTAGCCCGCCCCACGCATGCGTAGGCAAACTATTTTGGAGAACTCACTCACTATCGATTTATAACAACGATGATTAGGCAGCGGTGGAGTGGAAGTGTCTCGACGTATTAAAAAGGCCAAAACATGATGCCCTCGCGGTATTCAGATTTACGGAGTAACTGTACAAATTCTACGAATTCTAGCGGAACACTAACACGCTGATAACATTTTGCAGTAACCACACGGATTAACCAATACAACCTATTCCTTTTGGTCAAATAAACGGTATATCTTACCAAGCCATTACGACTGTAAGGTTGCTTCCCTTCCACCATCACGCCTGAGATAGCGTCAGAAACATGTACAACCTGAACGCACCAGTTGAGGCTACGCATCTCAAGATCAATACTTTTCAACCTGGACGGAATCAGAGGTGGATCTGCAACATTTGATCAAACACGCGTGGAACGGCATGACAGAAGTTTAAAAATTTTCAGAATAAAGCAAATGACACTTTTAAGTAAATATAACGTATTGTAAGATGAGATTTTCAACTTTAAAACACATGAGAAAACACTGCAAATGCCAATGTGGCCATAAGGCCATCGCAAATAATCTACCTAATAATGTTTGAGCTGTCTTGATTCCAGAGCTAATTGATACCATAACAGTAAGCGTTGTCCAAAAACAAACTTCAAACAAACATTAGCTAACCAGCTATTAACAAAACATATCCAAAACTTTCAAACTTTATTAAAATTAGCTCGATAACAATAATTAAAATACAAAATTTATTAATTTATTCAAATTTATTTATTCAAATTTATTTATTCATAGATCCAGGGAGTAGCCACAGGGGTCCAGTTGAGGAGTTCAGCGTCGTGGAACCAGAGGGCAACCTCTATCTTTGCACTTTCCACTGAATCGCTACCATGGCAAATGTTTCTGTTGTGAGCATCATACAGTTCATGTTTAGAAATCAATTTATTAATGTTCATTATTTTTGAAAATCAAATAAATTAAATTAAAATAAAACCATTTTACATGCCAGACATAATTATTGATTGTCATTATAGATAATTTAGATCCTGTTTTATCATTTTCCAACATACTTTTTATATACACGTTGTAATTTTTTACTCAAAACCACTTTGCACCATTATAAATATTATAAAACCACGAATTAAAATAATTTTCTAATTTTTCTATACACAAACATTCAGCAACAAATAAACATTCACACACTTACCTTCCAACTTCAATTCCAAAATCTCCCCTGATGGTGCCTGGTTTGGAGTCAAATGGATTGGTCTCACCCAAGATGATTCTGCCCGTCTTCACAACGTTCTTTCCCTCCCAAACCTGATAACATGACATTCGTATGAAGAATTATAATTATACACATCTATTTTAATTTTGTAACTAATATTTAAAGCTGTTTGTCAGTTAAGTTTAAAAAACAAAGTTGGGAAATATAAACAGTATTTTTAAAATGATATAAAAGTAGTCAGAAAATAAAAAGAAGTAAAATAAATAGTTGAAATTCACAATGTTACAGATTTTCAAAATATTGCTAAACTTGCAAGACTACAACAAAAATACCCATGAAGCAAAAAGAAAATTTGATCAAAAATTAAAGAAAAAACCAAATAACTATCAAAGAGATTAACAACAGAGGTTAATGCGACGAACCATCGGCACGAGAGGGCCAGATGACATGTACTTGACAAGTCCCCCAAAGAATGGCTTGCTGCTCAGGGCTTCGTAGTGTTTCTTCAGATGATCCTCTGACGCCTGCAAAGATATCAACAGATAAATGAACAATTACAATAATTACAATAAGTGCGTATCAGCAGACAGAGTAGTTGCCAAGAATAAGGTTCATCAATTATTGGAGGTATTACAATCATATATATGATTGAGTCAATGAGTCAAGCCTAACCATGGCACTAACTGAGCCCCACTCAGTACTAAATATCAGTATAATTTCAAATTATTTTTGATTTCATGAAAACATTTAATTTACTATATAACTATTTTTTTATTTTTCTGACATGGCTTGAATTAAAAGTAATTGGCAATAAAAAAACTAAAAGTAAAATGAAATAAGCCCTTAAAAGCTTTCAAATTAAAATTTAAATAATAACATAAAAAATAAGAAAGATAGCTATTACTAGAAATAAATAAAAAAGACAATCTGAATAATAAAGCTAATCAGTCATTAATATTAATTCAATTTTACTAGTCAGACTCATTTTCAAAAAAATTAAGATACAATAGTTATAATTAATTTAAAATTTATAACTAAATCTAAATTCTACTACTAAACTAAATAAATGCTAATCTAAAGTTCTAAACTAAATAAATTAAGAAGCTACCCACGTGAACGAATTTTAAGGCAACGAGTTTGAATCCCTTCTGTTCAAACCTCTTAATGATTTCACCAACCAAACCCCTGTGCACGCCATCAGGCTTCACCATAATGAAGGTTCTTTCGTCAGCCATGTCGTCTGTCTCTGACTGTTGAGATGTTTTCCTGTTCTGTGTCTGGAAGGGGAACGGAAATCTGTTGAAAAATTTGTTAGATATCTGGGTGAAAGTTAATAAACTTTTAAACATAAAACTGGTGATGCGATTGAAAAAAAAAAATTTTTAAATGTGGAAATGAATAAAAGGAGTTAAGGACGAATGAGCTAACTTGCAGCAAGTGCCACACAACAAAGAAAGAGGTCAAGGTGAAATAGAACGGAAAGAGTTGAGTGTCTGATTCGGAGGTTAAAAGTTATTTTAAATAAATAAATTTCAAACTTCAACAGTGCTCTTCTGCATTCAACCATTATTAACCAGTTTTTGATGAATTTCTCAAAACTATCATTATATATATATGTCATCGTTTTAGAACAAGTTGTAGAAAAGGTTCCCTTGGCATTTGAGCCAGGTTATTTTAACGCAACACGCTTGAGTGTGTATGTGAAAGAGTTTTGTTGTAAAGCGTGTTTATTTATTGATTGCTTTCTAAACCTAAATGGCCCTGGCTCACGATTGTCCTCTCGTTTTCATTTCTTCTTAACTCGTGTTAAACACACTTATGCTCAATCTCTGTTGTTTTCTCTGACTCTTTTCTCTGGAAGTCTATACCACCTTCCCCGACTACTTCTCCATCACTTAAGAAGTTCAGAGCGAATCTCAAGACCCATCTGTTTGTAAATTTAATCCCTTTCCTTTTACCTTTTTTCAATCAATCAATCAATCAATCAATCAATTAGCTTATAAAGCGCTATTTCCGCGATGTTCAACAGCGCTCCTCAATGAATTTTGAAAACAGATGGGTCTTGAGATCCGCTCTGAACTTCGCAAGTGATGGAGAAGTAGTCAGAGAAGTAGGTAGAGAGTTCCAGAGAAAAGGACCAGAAAAAGCAAAAGCAGATTTGGAAAAAGCAAAAGCAGATTTGCTTAATAATATTTTAAACAAAATAAGCAAAATATAATATTTCCTATAATATAATATAATATAATATATAATATTTTTCACGGGTCGGTAATAAAAAATTTGGCGTTCGGTAGAGTCTGATTTTTTAAAAAGTATAATTAAAAAAGTTAACAATAATTATAACGAAAATTACAGAAAAAAGTATCTAGACGACAAACTCCGCTGCTACTTTTCGTTTCGAACGCCTACTTCTAAGGCCCCAAAATAAAAAGGGTTTTAAAATACAGTTTTAAAAACTGTAACATTTTAATAATAAAATTAGCATAAAAATGGTTTCAATTCAGTTTTTTAAGTCTTTCGTTGTTTTGTACTAGGTAATGTAGCGTTAACTCTATTGAACAAAATAGTATGATATAAAGCTTCGGAGATATCAAATTTTCTATTGATAAATAAAGTTAGGCGATATTTTGTAATTCAAGTTATGTAACTTCATATCCCGCTTTTGAAAATCCAAATGTTGGCAAGTAGCAAATACTCTAAACTTTTCAATGACAGTAACGGTCATGATGACGGACATATGACCTTGACATTTCGTTATAGGAACTGAATTAAAACACTTAAATTTAGTTAGTTGATATATCTGAAGGCCTTTAAGTCATTGTCATTTTGCATTCTCTAAGAATCAATGCTTTATGAAATGTAATAAAATTTGTGATGTCAGTTGACAGCAAGTTATGGCAACCTAGAGTTCACATTTTTGCCAAGAAAACCATAGACAAACACGAACCAAATCAACTCTTACAAGGGGCTAAAGATCGGGTTTTGTGGAGGTCGATGGTAGCCAATGTCCTGAAAGGATAAAGCACGAGAAAGAAGAAGATGTCAGTCGAAGTGTTTAATGAGGGGAATAAAATAATTTCAGAATGTTAAATAAAAATTAGTACAAAATTTTCTAGTTCTGGTTCATTGAATCAATCACACATTTTCTGAATTCAAGAAATTCGGTTATAGTATTTAATCTGTCGATTTTAAAATTACTTCTTGCGTAAAATTTTTATTTTGCATCATTTTTCATCAGTTTAAATTTACCATGAATAAGTTTTCGGACAAAGGCATAGAGGAGATCAGCTGCAAAATAGAAATCAATTACAAAATTTTTCATTTTGAAAATTAATAACGTTAATCGTTATTGTTCTGCTCTACCAATGGATTTTCAATAATTTAAATGACAGATCAATATATGCTCAAATGCTCATATGGATACGATACACATCTATACGTGGAGGTTTCCCGACGCAGTACAATGCTAGTACAATGCAGTACATGCTCTGCAATTTTCTAGTACTCAAGCGTACATATAAATTTGCTTTACTTGGTACTTGTAAATAGGAACGGTTAAATACAATATTCAGTAGGTTTTAGCAAAAATTTATTTTGGAGCCTGTGCTAAAAGTCACGACACAAGTCATATATCGATTGATATGCTTGCATATGTTATTAGTTCGGTATGAATGACAATCAACAAAGAAAAATTTCTATACTGTTCATTTTGAATGCTACTGGCATTTGCATACGTAACATTATAGATACAATATATGATATATATATATATATATATATATATATATATATATATATATATATATATATATATATATATTTACAATATTCTATAAATTCTACCGAATGTTTGGCGTTAATATGTTTGTAGTTCGTTTTTTCAATTTTTCTCACTAAAGTTTTTTGGTGAACGTTTAGTTTATTAAAATTCAAAATAAACTTATTTACCGAATTCATGCTGCAAATAAGGTCATATTTCGATTCCGAATGAATCATCATCAGTGCTTTCTGTTGTTTATATAGGGAAATATTGACTTTGTCAAAATGAATTTAGATGGAGATTGACTTTGTCAAAGTGAACTTAGATGGAAATTAGGTGTCAGGTTTCTTTCTTGGCTGGTCATCTTCTTTGGTCTCCTTTTCTTCATTGCTATATATATATATATATACATATTTATAATATATATTTAAGTAATGTGTAAATTTACGAAAAAAGAAAAAAGAAGTAATGGGAAGAATATTAGAAAAGAGAAGTTATATGTATCAATTGAGAGAGTGAAAATACTTAATTAAATTTAGGGTACGAATAAAACTTTAATTTTACAAGTTAAATAACGCTTGGAGGTCCTCAGCTATGATGAAAGTTTTTATAATTTTGAATTGTTTTCTAATTGCTGTTGTTCACAATAAATGTTTTCGGTCTCGAAGCAACCTACTTGCTCTGACAACCGACCTGACATCAAATGGAAGTTGTTCCAACTGCAGTCTCTGCGGCGTGTCAGCGCAATCTGCACCAACCTCTGTAGAGAACATAACATTGCAAAGCAGCACCAACGATGCTACCAAGATGTTGATGGAGTGTGCTTGGATGTGTCAAACTACTGCTCAATGTGTTGGATTCAACTTCAGATGGAATAAAATAAACTTAGCTGAAAATGTACTTTGTCAGTTCTTCTCCTACACTCCCCAACTCTATCTCTCCGAGGATCTCTGCGTCTTTTATGGGGTAAGGTTTTTAATTCCTACTTTTTTACTTGCTTTACATTTCAAAATTAGAATAACAAATTTAAAAACTTTTAACTATATTTTAAAAGGTTTCTATTATTTTTTTATATTGGCATTATACAGAGTATGTCAAACTTAGAAAACTTTTCGAGCTTTTTGCCAAGTATGTTAGCTTTTGTTAATTATAATTTATTTTATTAAAACAATCTTGCTAATTTCTATTTTCTTTCAATCCCGCCTTCAATCCGAAATCATTTTCTTTATTTAATATGAGCGAGTGTTTATACTTGAGAAATTCATTTTCTCAAAAGTCACCCCAGAGTTTTGTGAAACGGGGAAACACAATTTGGCTCTTTAACGCATTTCATCTGGCTTCTGGTTAACAACCATTGCCGGGAGCTGGGTCAATAATATTTCGTCCGGTCAGAAAATTAATAGCAAATAAATTCAAAATTGTCGTTTTAATTTTAGCTTTTTTTTTATAAACTACTCCACTAACAAACATTGCTAGACAGTTCACCACAAATATGTGAAGTTTTAAATTTGGTCATAGAAACTACTTGAATGTTTGAAGCAAACATAGCGCTTAGACCTCAGTAACAAATTCTAGTTAGCACTGTTTTACCACACGCTCATTTTCTGAAAATGGATTTTAAAGTCATTTATATCGCTTGATGTGATTACTGATAATTTCTTTATAAATTAGTTTTTTTTATTTTGAATTTCCAAATGTTTAATATTTTAGGTATTTAAAATATTTTATATGATAAATGTTCTTTTAGAAGCCGTTTCTTCAGCGTCTGCGTGTGCTAAACACTTCGCACGCGGCAGGCTCAGAGCTTGACTTCATAGTAAATGACATTTAGAATTTATTTGGTTTCAACTATAGAAAGAACTTAAGTTTTAACTGTGAAATACAAGTAGCAAAAAATATTTTTCAGGAAATATTTGTTGGTTACTTGAAGTTTTATAAAAATTAATTTAAGAATCTTAGTTTAAAAACTGAAAACATCGTATCTACGAATTCAATAATAAATAAAATTTTATAACATCAGGGTTGTATCCGAGAAATCCGAAGTTTTGTACAGAATACTCTACGAGGAACAAATATTTTGTGAGTTGCATTGCAAGATGTTAGAATGTATGTACAAGATAGCAAAACACCTTTTTCGTATTTATGAAAAATCTATGTAATATTTAAAGCGTCTAAAATAAGTTCAAACTAAAAGTATTTTTCCCCAAATACGTGAAGGTTTCACCATTATAAATCTCACGAACACGAAATATTTTGAAAATAATGAATTTGCTGTTTAAATTTTTTTCGCCAACCTAACCTCGCCAGGTTATGCAGCGTCGCATGGATGGCTCGGAGAACTTTAACAGAAACTGGACTGATTATGGAAGAGGATTTGGTGACCCGAGGAAAGAGTTTTGGATCGGTTAGTTTCATTTAATCACTCAAACGTGAACTGCATAGAAACTTTTCAACCAGGAAACGACAACATCCACCGCATAACGTCCAACCAAAAGTACAAAGTTTTATTCGTGTTGGAGGATTTCGAAGGGAAGGTGGCGTGTGCAGCTTATGATTCATTCAGTGTTGGCTCGCCAGATACTTACTACGTTCTGAACATCGGAAAATACAGTGGAACAGCTGGTCATTCAGAGTTTACAAGATTTTTATTGGATAAGAGCATATTATTGTTTAGTCATAAGCATCACATTTCAAACAATTGTTAAAAGTATTAATAAATATTGGCAGGAAACTCAATGAGCTATCACGCCGGCATGGCATTCACAACTTACGACGGCGATCACGATGGAAGTACCGGAAGCAATTGCGCGCGGTACTTTCATGGGGCATGGTGGCATAACAGCTGCTTGACAGCCTGTCTCAACGGCTTGTACCTCAAAGGATCACACTCTTCTTTTGCAAATGGAGTTAACTGGCAAACATTCCGTGGTTATAATTATTCTCTCAAGTTTGTTGAGATGAGAATCGAGTTAGTTTAACTCATTCTCATGCAGTTATCAGCATCACGTACATAAAAATAATGTTGAAACGTTTAATATTTAGCGAGAATTAAGCTTGAAACCATTGGTCGATACTCTAATGTTAAGAAGCTTTGTGCTATTAAATAAAAATTATAGAAATTTCAAATAACAATTGATATTTTAATTAGGATTAATGATAGAAACTATTTGGTAAGCACGTTTTACCTTGAATAACTTGGTTTTGTTTGAGTGTGACTCAAATATTTTAGAATCAATATTTTTTGTCATTCATTAGTTATTGAGAATTAAATTAAAAATGGCGTTAATCATGAGAAATTGTTCAATTGAAATCGCACCGGCTGATTTAAAATTTTCCGATAGATGTATAGATTCTGATATCTCGATCGAGATCAGCTGAGCAAGGAATGGAGGAGCTCTCGTGATTGTTCCTCAGATCACGAACATTATTCAAACCATCTCGTTAAGTAAGAATAATTTCAGTTTCTTTAGACAAGATTTGTGAAGTTAACAGAAGTATTAGCCGTGGATTTTTAAAAGCCGCATTTAACATCTACACACTCATAAAGATTACTTAATTGACGTCCTCTATAAATTAGAGAATACCCAAAGTCACTTTTACATGGAAAGTAGTACTGTGTTTTAGCAAACTCGTCACTTTAATTTTCATGTTTAACAATTAATGGAAAGGAAACTTGCAAAATCTGTTTGTGTGTGTTTAAATGAGCGATCATATTTTTAACAAAATGTAGTTCAAAGTTAATTGACTTTAGGCCTAGCCCTTCAAGTTCCATCATTTGACGCATTCATATGTTTAATAGTGACCTTCAAAAGAATTGTTCTAAGAGTTTGACTTGTTCATTACTCCATACCATTCTTAACTTCTATTTCGCATCCACTTCGCATTTGCAATTTTTTCCACACGAACCTTTCAAACTGACTTTCCATCGGCAGATAACTTATATTTTCAGATTTTCCATCAATCTCAGTAATAAATGTGAGTGGGTTGTACAAAAACCAAAAACCGAAGCCAAGTGCTTCATAGGAGTTTAGTCTCTACAATAATTATTATCTTTGTAAAACATTTCATTTAAATTCTGGTCTCCGATGATTTTAGCCTCCCATCGCTAAAGTACCTTTTTTTAATGCATTTGTATCTACATGAAAAAAATAGAAATGAAAAAATCCTTGCTAGACGCATTTAATGGTCCCTACGCTACTGGCTGAAGTGGACAACACTACCAGAAGGATTGTAACAAATTTTAGCGCTCCACCATTTCATTAGTGGGGGAACAACAAACACATCACATACAAACACATCAACAACAAACACATCAACAACAAACACATCAACAACAAACACGTCAACAACAAACACGTCAACAACAAACACGTCAACAACAAACACATCAACAACAAATCCACACAAGTAACGAATAATTAATTATATTTCACGGCGCGATAAAAACCTGATAAAAATAATTTCTAGACATCTGTAATGAATATAAACTTCAACACAAGTGACTACTACTAAATGCTCGACGGTACGTTTTACATGGCATGAACACACTTTAATTCTGACAACAAAATATAAACACAAATAATTAATTATATATAAACATAATTACATAAATAAATACTATGTATGTTTGTATATATTTTTATATACAGGTAAAAAATATATCATAAACAACAAAGTGAATACTTACGAGATGTTAAGCCTGACAATTTAAAATTAAAAATAAATTAGACAAATTGTTTCTTGAAAAATTTAAAAAAATCATATAAAAGACTAATTGAATAATTATTAATTACATTATAATAATAATTAAATTCAATAAGTTTCATATAGTTATCGGCGAATAAATTATTTCATACCTAAATCTAAAGTAGCTACATCGCCATGAAGGTCAAATAATTCAACTTATACATAGTATTGTACTCAACTGGCGCAACCACAAATACAAGTGTACTTACATAGCATGGATACTTATACATAAATACCTAGTATATGCATACAGACACATGTGTGTACTGTGTGTATTTCATCAATATTTTGTATGTGAGTGAGCAGATACATTTAATATATAGTACATTTACAGTAATTTATTAATATGTATATAAGTAATGTACAATATAAAGTACAATATGGCTTCTTATTGGTTAGTTATAAATGCTCCCAAATGAAAAAGCGTACCTGATATATTAATAAAACATGGGTAGGATTCTAAATTATGAACATGTTTACCAATGAACATGTTCACCAATGAACATGTTTGCAGATGTTCATGCCCTTGTTTGAAAAAGTTATGAATAGGTTCGTGTTCGCAAGTGAACGTGTTCACGAGGTACATGTTTATAAATCAACACAAATTCACGAGTTTTCACGTTCACAAAAATTTTAATGTTTAAAACGATAAAGATGGAAATAGGTTTCACAAATCTTTTACTATAATTTTATTTTCACATTGTACACTGCTAAAATTGTAGTAAAAGTTGTTGATTAAAATGTGATTTGATGCTTCGAAACGATAATTCTTATAAATTGAATAACACTCACATCTTCTTCAATTGCTGTTACAATGAGTACAAATTAGTGTAAGAATTGAACTATAGCCCTGAAAGCTTAACCTTCAATCAACATTCTTTTGTAAGTACAGACACAAGGAAAAAAATGCATGTGACTTCACAGTGCATACAACCAGAGGATACATAGATGGGGGTATATAGATTATTATTGGGATACATAGATTGGGATATATAGATTTGGATGCATAGATTGGGATCAAGATACACAGATAGGGATTAAGATACACAGATCAGGATTAAGATACATCGATTAAGATACAAAGATTGGGGTTAGGATAAATAGATTTGGATTTAGATAGCTACATGCATACAATAACATACCTATAGGTATATAGATATATATATATTCAAAACTACCCCGGAATCATATATAATGAAACATTATTATACAAGCGATACTTGTGTTCTCTAGTAAATCATCACAACAACAACAACAACTACAACAACAATTTGAGTACACACATACATACACGGTATTATTATTTGTATATAGAAGTCCGTAAAAATGAACAATACGGACAATGTTGTCGCAATTACTGATGTTATATTAGGACAACGCAGTTATTATGCAAATCAAACAATCACACATAGAAACACACACACACACACGCACGCGCTCACACACACTCAATCTCATCTGCGTTGCTAAAACAAACAAGGTCACACACACACAGACACATACATACACACACACACACACAATCTCATCTGCATTGCTAATACAAACAACCTCGGAGAATAAAAACGTCCCAACAACAACAACATCAGCAACAACACACCACGTCAAAATAACCACTAACACGTCAGCGTCAATAAAAACCATCCCTATATAACACAACAACAACAACGTATGACATTAACATCACCCTCAGTATAACAACAACAACAATAATAATATTAATAATAACGACAAATTAACATAACAACAAACCATGTCACATCAACACAACACATCAAAATGACACTATGACGCATCAAGCAAAATCGTCACATCAAGCATTTAGGCTGGATATTACAGACCTCTCTTCGCAGCTCTGGGTTGATAATATTATTATTGTTATTATTATTATTATTATTATTGTTGTTATTATTATATTATTATTATTACTATTATTTTATTATTGTTAAAACGCGCATATTTTTATTATTTGCTCATACAAAAGACACAATGCTTATACTGAGAAAACATGTGATGAAGGTGATGACACACACACACACGCACGCACACACACACACACACGCACGCACACACACACACACGCACGCACACACACACACATTGCATGCGATAGACAGGGGTCTATTTGCATTCGAATGCGGTCACTGGCGACAACAGCAGAGCCAACCACCTTAACCGTTACGCTATCACACCAAAACACGAATGAGAAACAAATTTATGGTCCTGGTGGCGAGCATAATGCTAACAGTGAATTGAGGTAGTATAATGGTTAAGGTGCTTGAGTCTGCTGTAGAAGAGAGCACGTTCAAAAGCAAAGAAATCCATGCTATCACGCACGTGTAATGGAGTTACAAGAGAATCACTGATTCAAAGATGCTGATGATGTGATCACACGTCTGACTAATAAGTACGATGGCGAAGTTGGTAAGTTTTGGTTTTATAAAAAATATAATCAAATTTCCCTGTTAGACGATAACACTGATGATCAAAATCATGACCGAAGAGATGAAATGAAATTAGTATAATAGTAACAATAATAATGGAATAATAATGGTGTTGATGATAATAATAATAAGAAGAAGAAGAAGAAAAAGAAGAAGAAGAAGAAGAAGAAGAAGAAGAAGAAGAAGGAGAAGAAGAAGAAAATAATAAGTGGCGAATCCAGGAATAACATAAATGAGGAAAATATTGAAGATTCTGGATCCACCACTGATGATAAAAATATCAATAACAACGAACCATTACACAAAATAATTTTCATTACAATGTAATTCCGCTAACCAAGACAAATTAACAATTAATGCAGCGATCAATTAATTAATTTATCAATTAGTTAGTTAGTTAATTGATTAATTATTTGTAATCATTTGTTTAATTAACTGTTTTTTTTATATAATATCACTTTTTTCAACTTTCATTCGATAAATTAAAATAAAATTAATTACCAAATAAAAGTAATAATTAAAGATAATAAATAATAAAATAAAAAAATTATTAATTATACCAGAATATATAATTAAAAAAACATGTTAATATTCCCAAAGCGTGGCTTTCTCAATGCTGGCTGCCTTGGCGAGTATGAGCCCGTTCTGCTCACCCACCAAGTAGTTGCCGTTGGGGGCTCTGATGGTCAGTCTGGATTGGTCGCGAAGTTCGAGAAGGAAAGGGGTGGGGGTGTTGCTATCCGATACCAAGTTACCCTCCTGGTCTATTTGGCAGTACTTGTCGTTTGGTCCTGTGTGTGTGTGCGTGCATACGTGTGTGTTTGTGTGTGTGTGGTGTGTATGTCGGAGTTTAGATCTGTGTATGTGTGGTATTTGAACATGTTTGTGAGTATGTTGAAACATTAGTGTTTTAAATGAATCAATAAGTCGTTTCGCCGGATGCAACTAATCTTTTTAGCAAGCCTAAACACAATCATGAAGTTAAAGGGTGATTAACAATCGGAACAATAGTTAAAAGTATCACGCTCAAACGAACGTAAACAACCAGCGAACCAAACCTTTCATGAAATAAAATGGCTGCTTGCCCTCCTGATGGACAAGTTGTATGGCATCAAAGAGTGTTCTGTTGCACTCGAATCTCGATCCGGATTTGAACCCGACAAATCCGTATTCGCCCTTCAAAACGAGACGAGGTTTGTTCAGGATCGTCAGAATAAACTTCTCCTTATCCGACGGCTCGTCGACAGTGGCAAACAAACTTCCGTTCATGCGTGAGGTCACGTGTTTTCCGGTAGCTGCTGACCTAATGGACACTCTACCATCGTCGTGCCAGACTAGTTGGAAGAGGCCTTTGGGAGACCTTTGTGGAAGAGTGTTTGCGGTTGGTTGGTTAATTGTTGTTTGAAATTATTACTATAAATCAAATGGATCACACAAAATTGGATCACACAGCTTAACAGGCCCGAGAGAAACTTATACCACAGCTATTGACACCAAATAATTTGAATTCTGAACCATGTTTATCAAAAAAATTATCTTAGCGTTGATAAAAAACACTACCACGTGTCTTGAAGAATCACAAAACACAAATAACAGCCATGCATACACACTTAGTGAAAAATAAGAAAAAAAAGACAAACACACTAACGGCAAAATAATTCCAACTCACTTGACAGCAGATGAAGCCTGAATCCCACTACCAGCTTCAACACTCCAGAATTTGTTGTCAGACGTGAGGAGGTTCCACATGGAGGATGCCTTATCGTATTCCACCTGGAACATTTCCTTGTCCGTCACTTCGTCATCCTGGTTGGCCGTCGGGTCCACGCCTGGAAGAGAGATAGATGTGGAGTAGTTGGTGAGAGGGTGAAATGTAGAAAAGTGTTTAGTGAGAATGAAAATGAGGGGGCTGTTGAAGATGATGGTGAGCAACTTTGACAGGGAAAAAATAATAATGGCGAGTGTTGGGATGATGGTTTAAGATAACAAAAACGATTTTTGTAAACTTTTAAGCAAATCATGAATAATATGAATATAGCAAATGATTTTTGAAAATTTCTTTTAACGCTATGCTCATTCTAACTGTAAGTAATATTGAATAAACTGGTTTTGTTTTTTAATAAATAAACAAATAAATAAATAAATTTCATTAAATATTTTTAGTCTGCTGCTATCAAGGCCCTTTTAAGGTCATTGTACGCCTTAGACTTCATTTTTAATATTTTTCTCGAGGAACCCGCACTTCTTTGCGATTTAAAAACCTAAATTGTTAGTTATTCTATGCAGACGAACATCTTCATCTGAATGAATGATCACATCTCGTGGACATGGGTAAATTTTCAACAATTTTAATTCTCCATTTTCAATCGCTGATGTCTTTATTCTAACAATATTAATATCATAAATTCGTTATTATTGTACTTTTATCACTAATGATATTATTCTTGTCAAATGACAGTATCCGTGATTTTATTAAGTGATTAAATTTTAACTTGGCAAAAAAGAAAGAAAGAAATTAAAAAATGAATAAGAGATGGACCGCACTGCTACATCTCATGGAGAAAATCTTATAAAATATTTTTCAGTTCAATTGGTACAAATATTTTGTCAATATATTTATTTATAACTCTTCTTAAAAAAAATTTAATTTCGAAATTCAGAAGGATGGAGTTTCCAGATAGCAGAGATGTTAATGACATGGGTGGATTCATTCGTGGAAATACATGATCCTCGATCGACTCAAAGCTACATCAAATGAGATGTCGGAGCAATTGCAGAAGAGAGAAAAGTATGCTACTACGGATGCACAAATTGGAATCAGCTTCCTCTTTATGTTCGAGAGTGTTCAACTTTTGGGGATTTTAAGTTTAAACTAAAAACTTATTTAAATTGTTTGTCGTAAAAAAGAAGTAGAGTTATGGACAACATGAAAGACGAACATGCAAACGGAGAGAACCGCCCTTGCAAACACTACCCCGATGATAATGTTTCTGACAATTAGGACGATGATGATATGATTGTAAGAACGTATGCATGCATCGTAAGAAAAAAACACACATTGAATGAACGATTATATTTCATGGACGCATCTTGCAGTTCGTCGCCGTAGGTCATAGGACATGTAGACTTTATCAATTCGGCAGAGTGCCTTTGGTGTTGATAAAGCTGATAGTTGATAAAGCGGTCCTGGTTGCAAACATTGATATCTGGCTTGAAACAAAGCACTCAAATGTGGCTTGAATCACAAAATTTTTGGTTGGAGGTAAATTTAAAATTTAGCGGTTCAACACTTTTTCTCATTTATATAGCGTTTCATTATTGATACAGTGTACATCGCCCTTTCATACAGTCGCAGTGTGACTACACCAGAAAGACATTTTGCTGAAATTTATTTCATTATTATTTTTATTTTATTTTAATTGTTTTAATTTATGATGAAAATTTTTATTAAGAAACCATTTGGAAAAACGTGTTAGTTATTTTTTTCATGAATCGTTTATGCGTAATTATATTGTCATTAAGTTTCATTGGTCCAATTACATTTGCGTGTGACAAATCATTTTGTTGTTTCTTTTGTTATTTTTTTTGTTTATTTATTCATTAATATATTTGTTTATTTATTTTAATTAATTCATTCGTTAGTTCTTTCGTTCATTCATTCATTTACTCATTCATTCACTTTTTTTAATAAACATCAAATCCAAAAAAGGCACGTGATATTCACGAGTCTGAAACCTATTAAAAACCAAGAAAAAAAATCTAACAAGGATAATAATAATAATAATAACAATACTGATAATAATAATTGAAGTTGTAGTAGTAACAGTGGTAGTTATAGTAGTAGTAGTAGTAGCGGTAGTAGTAATAGTAGTAGTAGTAGTAGTAGTAGTTGTTGTTGTTGTTGTTGTTGTTGTTGTTGTTGTAGTAATAGTAGCAATAGTAGTAGTAGCAAGAATAATAATAATGATAAAACAATAGTAACAATAATAATAATATGACAGTAATTAATATAAAATTATTTCTGTAGGTTCGAAGTAATATTAATCTTAATTGTCATACGCTATGGAGTTGTTAACATGTGAGCGTGATAACTTGACGATGATGTTGTTGGTGGTGATGATGATGTTGTTGGTGGTGATGATGATGTTGTTGGTGGTGATGATGATGTTGTTGGTGGTGATCATGATGTTGTTGGTGGTGATGATGATGTTGTTGGTGGTGATGATGATGTTGT